GGTCAACAACTATAGTTTTATTAGTTTTAATCATAATACGGTCAAAAATTCCCAACACTCTTTTCAGTAAGTTTGGAGTTAATAAAGATATAAAGCTAACAAATAAATTGCTATTTTCCTCCCCATTGGCTTTATAATCTATTGCCACGCCCCCTGCTCTTTCCACCGGTGAGAATTACGATTATGGTTGCCTTAACTCACTAATTGAATATGCTGGCATTACTTGTTCCGTGACCTGAATTTATAATCCTGAACATTCAGTTTGCCATTAGCTGTAATACCTATTCTACTCCCTCTAACCAAATTCTTCGATTGCAATGATGTCATTGCCGCATGAAAAAGGCATATTTTACTTATAAAAGTATATATCCCCATCTGTTGATGGTACCTAAAATGTAGGTAGTGAAGAATGTAGGTAGTGAAGATAATGAAGTAAAGTGGTAAGCAACTGGGCATCTCTAATGTAAAAATTGCTAAAGAAACCATGTCATGGTATGTCTTATCCCCTCTCTAAGGGGATAAATAAAAAGATATTTTCCACCTCTAAATGATTAATTAATGCCCAAGGAATGCAACAGTGTTCCTACATTATCTGAATAAACTTTAAACCCTATACCGCTGTATTCTGCTAATATAGCACTACCGTCCTGCAAAAATTTTCCCATAAATTGACCTCCACTACAATCACCTTAGGTACAGGTTGAATTTAATTCAACTTTGTTGATGACGATGCCATCTCTCATAATCATAATATCGACATTCATTCTAACTTCTACGCCTCTCTGAATCACTATTACCAGACTTCTTTCTAAATTCAATTTTTAGATGGCAATTTTACCGTTGAAGCTGAGCTACGCTCCTCAAATACATCCCGTAGTACCTCGCTTGCACTTAATTCTAATCATAAACCGGTTTTAAAAAGTCTACTTTTAGTAAGCAACTCTAAAATGTCACTGAAGTTAATCTTCTCACCATAGATCATCACAGAACTTTTATGCTTATTTACTTTAATCTCCATATTAAAATCATTGTCAGGTAAATTAAAGTTATTGGAGTTTAAATATAAATTCCCATCTTCTACCTTTCTATTAAGTCTGATATTCAAATTACTTCCTATCACATCTATCATATCTAATGATAGTTTATCATCACCCTTCAATATAGAGGATGCAACTTTATTATTACTTCAAAGCAATTTTTCCACCATATATAACTTGAACGCAAGATTAAATCTGATAAATCTATACCACCATCAATAGATCCTGTGTCATCTGAATTTACTATTGACTCTACATCTATATTAACACAACTATCCGCATTTATTATCTGAGCTGGAAAACCCGCCAGTAAGGGTGTTTTTATTACGCTCCTTACAGTCAAACAGTAGCCGCTTTTATTCACTACCACACCACTATTTAAGTCTAAAAAATCGCTACCAAATTTAAGATCAACATTATATTTGCCAATGTCTGATTTATAAATGATTAAGTCGTCAATTTTATAATGAATATTACCTAAAAAGTTTACTTCTTCGTTATCAGCATTTAAGTTAAAAAAAACTTAGAAGCTGAATTCAGATTTTGCAGTACCAATAACCTTATCCTTTTCAAATTGCGACAATTCTATCTAACTTAGATTTAATAGATTCATATAATGCATAGGTATCACTTATCGCTGACCACGAATAACTCATTTTCACTATATTACCTGGTACATAGGTAGATAAATCCTTCGCAGCAAATTTACTGATATTAATTCTAAGCGAAGCATAATTTGTGTTAAAGTGTATTTTACCAATCAGAGACAAAATATACCACATAACTTAAAGTAGAATTTATCTATTAATAACCCGATCATAATAGGCTAGTTTGATATTGACATTATTTAGTGAACTCAATTTTTGGGTTTTTACCCAGACCAAAAAAACAGCTCTCTTACAACCTTTCAGATAAAATATGAGAAAAATTTGCACGATCTCTAAATAAAGAACTTAACTAAAATCGTATAAAGAACTCAGGGATTTTATAGTAAATTACAATTTTTTATTGATAAATCCGTAATGATTAAACACGTATCTTTGTTACCTTTCTGTCAAACAAACGAAGTATTTCGTATACTTACTTTTGAATTAGCTGATATTTTTGATACTTTATTCTTTATATAAAAATTGATGTAATCAATATCTATTGATATAGAACCCTTACTTTTGTAAATGTAACAAAAAAAAAAGATAGAAATAATAAAGTTATCAATAACAGAACAGGATTAAGCATTATCTATTGCTTTTCTCGCTAAAGCATCAGCTAACTCATTATATTTGTCGCCATTATGGGCTCTTACCCAGCGCCAATCAATCTGATGCTGTGAAGAAATTTCATCCAATGCTTTCCATAGCTCCATATTCTTCACTGGCTTTTTATTGCTTGTTCTCCAGCCATTTATTTTCCATTTTTTTATCCATGCTGTTATACCATTTTTAATATAGAGGCTATCTGTATATAGATTAATATTACAAGAGGTTTTTAATGTTTTTAACCCATTAATCACCGCTATCAATTCCATCTTGTTATTTGTGGTATCTTCTGCTCTGCCAGAGATATCTTTTCTTTGATCTTGAAACAAGATTACAGCCGCCCATCCTCCAGCACCGGGGTTACCAGAACATGCTCCGTCTGTATATATTGTTACCCCTTTATTATTCATCTTTATTGCTTAATCAATAAAATACACAACTACATTTGTCAGATTTCAACTTTATAAAACTAAGGTCTAATAATAATTGTTAAACCTTATAAAAATTACCTATCTATATAATAACACCAATAGTGTTTCTTTTTGCTGTCTTTCTGTTTGTCTCTTTTTCAATCCAAGTAGCACTTCGTGCGCTATTAAGTTATTGAGGGATACTACTTTGCGTACTATCAACTGTCTGAGTGGCAGTATTACTTTGTAAATTATTGGTTAGTTGAAGACTTTTTACTGCGCAATTAGTTATAGGTTTTTGTACCAAAGTTTCACTATTCCCTCCCATAACAAACAATTTGTGCATCTCATGTAGAGACTTGCCATTAATAGATAACTCTTGATTTTGCCCCCTCAAATATAATATATTTTTTATATTTGGATTATTCATCCTCTCATCATCCTGCGCACAACTATAAACTTTAGTGATACCACTCTTATCCACGCCCACAATCATAGTGAGTATTGAAATCCCACTTTTGGTTTTTACAGCTCATATAATTGTCATTTCATAGCCTGCACTTCTTTAAAGTTATAATTCCTTATGTTAATATCATCCTTTTTAGATCTACTAACAACTACTTCTTTCTTCCCTAGGCGATATACTCTTAATTTATCTATGCCTTTTTCTTTTTTCAAAAGATCATTAATTTTTGTTGGTTCACTTACATCGCTAGCAAGAAAAACGCTCAAAATATTCAGCTTATTATCTTTGCTCTTTGTGTAGTAATCGCTACGCCCACCTCCAAAATATTTATCCGCAATTTCTACAGCCTTGGTTACAGACTCTTCACAGCTTTTTATTAATGATTCACTTATATGCCGATTAAATCCTTTATAACGAAAGGCATTTATGTAAATCTCCACTCGCTTACTTCCGGCTCTTTTAATCAGTGAGTCGTAGTCTTTTGCTTCCTTGAATGCTTTTTTTAGCTTTTCCTTTGATTCTGAATTGCGGAAAATAACCTTATTATCTTCAAGAGCTTTAAATAAAGCATCAACATCCGTGGTTAATCGACTGGGATGGTCTTTTTTTGCAGCTGCCTGATTACTTATATCACCTTTAACTTCTTCAGTCCTTGTACTCTCATCCTTCTTTATAATCGGCGTAGCACTATCACTGTTATTATCTATACTTGCTGCTAATTGAACACCTTGACCAGGTGCCATTTCTTTCTTCAATTTATCAGAATTATACTGAACCTTAGTATTTTCGCTACTAAGCATAGTATACCCCCTTTTAAGTTTATATTGATTACTTATTATATTATTAGCTTAAAAATAATCAAGTTATTTTTCTAAAAATTTATATTAATGATAGGATAATACATTATTCAAGACTGTCAAGTAGATAAATCGAGCTTACAATCGATGAAAATTTTAAAACCTATCAACCGACGCCATTATAACCAGGTAAACCCATGCTTGAGCAGTTATTAACATGACTTTCGGTCATAGGATGCCTATTAAGTATTCACCTTGTAAAGTTTTTTTAATTTGATTAAGTCGTGAATTTAGAAAATGTTCACGTTATCAGCAAGTATTGCCTTGTCACTATAAATTTCTCTGTCGATCTGAATGCCATGTTTAATCTATTTTGATATGTATAACAAAAATAAGTACCGCGGCCATTTTAGGGTATCCATTTATGGTATTATGCAAATTTTGTAAGATTCTTACATTGTATCGTATACGTAAAAATTATTTTGAAAATACCCTATAGAACCTATAGATTAGGCGTAGTCTTTTAGTGTCGATCCACCTGCAATGATTGCATCATGCAGAGTGTTTTTTATTTCGCCAGCAAGTTTTCACACTCTATATGTTTTAATCTCCCGCAACCTTAATGGCGATATGTGAGCCCTAAATAAACTCTCAGAGGCGTATATACCCTACTTCAACCACTATTCTAGTGTCCATTAACACTGATTTAATATTCGCTTTTTATTCTTTAATAACTTTTTTAGATAACTCTATTGAATTAGTCTATGAG